GCTGCTCAATTCCTTTATTTGCAGTGCCTTGGAACATTTGCGACAACTTTCAGTGCATCATTTGTCACCAACACCAGCTGACTGACAATCCCTCAATCATGCAGTTATCCGCATCTATCACACGCATCCTGTTTGCTTGACACGGTTCGCTTCGAATACCCTCGCTATCGTTATCAAACGCCGCATCAACGCACGACCTGCAGTCTTTTTTCCACATCTTCGTTTCGATTTCATATTACCAGGTCCAAAACGCCGCCGTATATCGATCGCTAAAACAGTACCAATAACTTCAGCTCAGTTCGGACCGTTCTGAGTCTCTTTTATGGGTTGTATCTAATCCCAAACCGATATTCTATTATTATACCTTCTACATGCCTAGATTCGGTGTTGCGTTTAACAGGCGGAAGTCAACCGCAACCTCGGAGGATTTTCAGCATGCTTCAGTAACACCAGAGCAATCGTCATTCCGAGTTATTGAGCGTACAGACCCTGCGCTCGGTAAATCATTTGACGGAGGCGCCAGAATGGCCAGGAACTCTGGTCATCACATTCCTAAGCCTAGTCACCTGGAACTTGACACTGAAGATAACATGTTTGCCGACCTCAAGAGTGGCAACAGGTGAGTTTTTTTTCCCTCGATCCCCCGCCTACTCCCTCCTCTGCCTGTGTGACTCGCCAAGGAATGTTGCACGACTGCCGTTGGTTCTGAAAGATAAAAATAACACAACCTAAGTCATGCATCATGGCGCTGACTCCTTTCCAGGGGAAGTGGGGCCTCTAATACGACCAAAGCCACATCAACTGATACCTCATCAAGGCACAGCAATGCCTCGACTGCTCCGTCTTCTACAAATCTCGAGGGTCAGGACGATCCCAAACATTCCCATTCACAGAAGAAGAACTTGCACGAGATCGCTCCTCGACCTGGAGTAAAATCCAGCGGGTCCGGATTTCTGAACCGAGCGGGTCGAACATTTTCTTTTGGGGTCCAGAAAAAACACAACGCGTCTTCCCCAAAGATTGACAACAACGACATCCCTCCCGTTCCAGCCATTCAACAGGATGCTTTTAGTGGAAGATCTAGAGGCTTGACCGAATCGACAACCAGCACTGCTACACCGCCAAAGTTAGAGATGGAGAACGGGGGCATGGATATGGGAGGTGATTTCGGCTCCATGTTCTCGTCCTTCGACAAGAGAGCGAGCGTCGCCACCATGAGGGCTGACGGGTCCGCAGCTCCTCGCTCACTTACTAGCAACCGACCCATCCAACCACCCCCTCTGAGTATCAACAAGATCACCAAAGTTGAGCCTGGCCCTGAGTCGTGGCACAGCCGCAACGAGGACGACAATCTTCTCGGATCTCAACCTGGGACCCCTGAGCTCGATGATGTGCCACCCCCTGTTCCGCGCCACCAGAGTTCCTTCAAGACGTCGAACCGGCCGTCTGATATCATTGAGGATGAAGACGCAAAGTTACTGCAGGATTCCATCGCAGTCGGAAGGTTGCTTTCCGAGTCCAGTAGCTCCAACCTCCCTTCCGGCCGTTACCGACGAAACGAAGATTCCTTCTCATCGTTTGAGAGGAAGCCTCTCAACAGCAGCTTCAACAGAGGAGACGACAATTTGTTCGAAGGGACTTCCGCTCATTCTTCGCGCATCACCAATCGTTTCAATTCTCGAGCCCCTAGCCCACCACGCAACAACAAGGTCATGACCCCGGCCCAGTTCGAAAGATACCGAAAAGACAAGGAGCGTCACGATTCGAGCGATGGAGTAATGCAATCAACCCCCAACGATGACGATGACGATGAAATCAATTATGATGACGACGAGGACGAGATCGAGAAGTCCAAGCAGCAAGCAAAGCAGAGGAGAAAGCAGGAGGCTCACATGGCAGTCTATCGACAGCAGATGATGAAAGTCACTGGAGAGCAGCCTGATATGCAATCACATGAAAGGCCCGGCCTGGCCAGCTCCATGAGTGCACCCCAACTTCACCTCATGAAGACACCATCTCCCGGGCCCCCGGCAGGTGCTTCTGACGAGGATGACGACGAGGAGGTTCCTTTGGCCATTCTGCAGGCTCACGGCTTCCCCAGCAAGAACCGACCACCCGCTAGACTCAGCACCATGGGCTCCAACCCCAACCTGCGAGCATCAACCCAGCTGGCGCCCCCAAGGCCTGGCTCGGCGATGGGCGAGAGCAGTAGTCAAAATCAGCGCCATTCGATGCTGCCTGCATTCGCCCGCGGTCTTCCTCAGGACCCTTTCGTTGGTGCAGGTATCGCAAAGCCTGCTATGCGGGAGTCGCTCACTTTCAGCGGCGGTCTTCCTGCCTCAGAGTCTCAGCAATCCTTGCCCCCCGGAGGGTTGGTTGGCGTGATCGCCAGTGAGGAACGCTCAAGAGCTATGCGCCGCGGCGGTCCTAACGCAAATGGCCAGAAGTTCATCCCTGGCATGAACGGGCCCCAAGGACCTCCTTTCGACAACACACCCCAAGGTGTCATGAACGGCATGGGCGGTGTGTACAATATGCCAGGTATGGGCATGTCTCAACAGCAGATGCCTATGCCCATGGCGCCACCACAGCTCACTGTGGGAGACCAGGCACAGCTTCAAATGACCCAGCAGATGTCACAGTTCATGCAGATGCAGATGCAGTTTATGCAAATGATGGCTACCAACAACCAGCAGCAGCAACAACCCGGGATGATGCCACCGATGCAACCTTATGGAGGACTCTCTGCCACTCAATCTATGAATGACCTTTCTTCTCGCCACTCAATGATGCTTGAGCCAGCTTTAGAGCCTCCCCGCCGTATGGACGCCGGAATGCGTACCATGAGCATGGTGGCGCCACCTTCAGGCGCTCCCTTCCTACCACCACCTGGCGGATACGCTGGTTCGATTCACGGCATGCCCCATATGGGATACACTCCGTCAATTGCACCATCCGAGCGAAGCAACATTGGTCTTCCCGGCCGATATCGCCCAGTATCTCAAATGCCGGCTGCTGCGACCCCCGATCCGCACCGACGAACCAACACTATGTCTGGAGCGCTGGGTCGCTGGGATGACCCCAAGGGCAAGTCTACTATCAACGTGGTAAGCGCCGCAGGCGACGGTTCAGATGATGATGAGGAGGAAGGGTGGGAGGCGATGAAGGCCAAACGAGACAAGAAGCGTAGCATGTGGAAGTCAAAGAAAGGACTGGGAAGCGATTTTGGAACCATGATATAATTCGAAGGATTAGTGAGTGTGGACTTGTTACAAAAGAGACGGAGGTAAGATTGGTTTATATGCTCTATTTTTGCATCTGGATATCCATGGGTTGAAATACTCAACCGCCGAGTGGAGAGCCACATACAATTGTATATTCTAGAAGTGCTTTTCACCCGGGCGTCGTGGGGAAAGATATGATAAGCACCGGCTCATTAGGACTGAGACTGGCGCATGATAGATTCATCTTTATGCGGTAATTGACTAATTGGGAGGTCATTTTCGGAATGGAATTCATCTGTGGCTCGAGTCATGCTTTCATCGTTTCGTTGACGGGCGCAAAGGTTGTCTACGCCTTGTCCAAAATGCGATATTTTATCATTTGTCGTGCACGTTGCTGTTCTAACCATCAATGGTGCCGTTGGCCCACTCCTTTCTCTTGACACCCATCTCGACAGCCGCCAGACCCCAATCCTCTCCATGATTGTGACCCTTACCGTCGACACCGGCACGAGCCTTCGCCTGGTCCTCGGTCAGAACGGTCAGGACACCAAGAATGACGGGAACGCCAGTGTCGAGCTGCACACGCATAAGGCCCTGGCAAGTTGACTCGGCAATATACTCAAAGTGCATGGTCTCTCCCTTAATTAGAACGCCGACAGCGATGATAGCATCAAAGGCGCCTGAGGAAGCGGGAAGAGAGGTGAGATCGGTAGTGGATGAGGCCAGAAGATCGGTTGCCGAAGGACCGCCAGTCGAGGTGCCTTGGATCTGAGAAGCGGAGAACAGGCTAGAAAATGGCAATACGTCAGCGACTCGGCATCAACGGGTACAAACGAATGGGGAGGTTACCGCTGGACGGCAATGGGGAGCTCCCAGGAGCCAGGGCAAGACTGGATGACAATATTGGACTCCTTAACACCAGCTGCGAGGAGCTTCTCCTTGGCGCCGGTCACAAGAGGGTCAATGATGGTTGAGTTCCAACGAGCGTGGACAATGCCGATGCGCAGGCCAGAGCCATCGTGGTGTTGCGGAGAGGGGCCCTTGAGAGACATTGTCGGAATTTGAGATTGAGATCAAGTTGGATGCTGCGATAGAGATTATCTGTATGTCGGCAACTGGGGTGAAGCTGTCGTCGCAATCTAGTGAGATGGGTAGGTAACTAAAAGACGAGGTCGGAGGATGGTTTAGGTTCATGAAAGGAAGCTTAGCAATGGTTTCTATCCGCCATCCGCCAAAGACAACGCGGGGCTACTCACAGCGGGGCTGGAAGGTCACGTCACAGGGGAACAGGGACAGAATGGTGCCCCGGAGGCTCCTGGGTTGGATAAGGTACTACCTAATCCAAAAGATGGAATGCAGGGACTGGAGGTACGTACCTTGATCGGACCTTTCTAACCTCTTGGCAGCAGCTGGTGTGCATCTTGTGTGTGTGTGATGTGTTAGTCGGAAGGAAGGACTAAGGGGAACTAAGGTAAGAGGCTGAATCGCCTCCTTCTTCAAAGAATCTTTCTAGGTACCTAGGTAGGTAAGGTATGTTCTTGAATTGTTGGAAGGCAGACGAGAATCACCGCTCGTCTCAATTGTTTTTCTTCCCTTTCATCTTCCTCTTCTCCAACACCCCCTGCTTTAATTCCCCTTCTTATATAACTCCACCAGCATAATATCCACATGATCCGTGTTAGTCTCTCAGGCAACCAGATGCTGTGTCTTAATGCAGCATAAACTACCTGGGAGATTCATATCTCAATTCCATCTTCAAGCCATCTCACTATCACAATGTCAATATCTGCGTTGCCGCCATCTTCAGCACACCTCCTACGGTCCTCATCTTCGCTTCCAGACCCTCTCTCCATGGTCAAGGAACTTGTTGATAATAGTATTGACGCGGGTGCTACATCTATCGAAATCACGGTTGCTCCCAACACCGTCGACAAAGTTCAAGTCCGGGACAATGGTTGTGGGATACAGGTGGACGATTTCAAGTCATTGGGCCGTCGGTCTCATACGAGCAAGCTCCAAAACTTCGACGAACTTCATTTGAAAGGTGGCGAGACGCTTGGTTTTCGTGGTGAGGCTCTTGCTAGTGCCAACTATCTGGCTACGATCAAAATCACAACTCGAACAGCGCAGGATCCCATTGCATCACTGCTCCTCTTAAACACAAAATCAGGCGGGATTAGCAGACAACAGCCTGTTTCCGCTCCTGTCGGAACAACTGTCCAAGCTTTGAATTTGTTTCAAAACCTTCCTGCTCGGAAACAAAATGCTATCAAAGTGAGCCGAAAGACCCTGGCAGATATCAGACGGCTCCTAGAGAGTTATGCGATCGCACTTCCACACATCAGACTATCATTCAAAGTGCCTGGTAGCTCAATTCAGCCGTGGGTTTACACGCCATGCTCAGCACCAAGCACCCGAGAGGCAATCACACAAGTATTTAGTCACACTCTAACAACTCAGCTCGTGGCGGTGTCATCAGACTCTCACGCTGGAGGAACTTCGACCGAATTACAGTCCAAAAAATTGAGAATTGTAGCCTCCTTACCCAAGCCTGACTCCGATGCCAATATCATCAAGGGGAAGGGAGCTTTCATCTCGGTCGACTCACGACCCATTTCATCGTCCAGAAGCACGGGAAAGAAGCTAGTTTCTATTTTCAGATCGAGTATTTCCACGGTTTTAAACTCACTCGAGAAATCGCGAGCACCCTCCAACGCATTTATGCAACTTAGCATTCAGTGTTCACCTGGATCGTACGACCCCAATGTGTCGCCCTCGAAAGATGAACTTCTTTTCGTGGACGAACGAGCCGTCCTTAGTTGCTTCCAGAATCTGTGTGATTCTGTTTACACCAAGAAGGCTTTGGGTGACAAAGAACCTCAACACAAGCCGATGGCGTTGGAGAATAGCCTATCACCTCTGCCGTGGGCTTCGAAGACGATTGAGCCAAGGCTGAGAGACGAAGCACGTGTCGATGGCATAGAAGATGATCTCTTGTTGACCGACCAAGAACTTGTCGGCTCTTTGAACGATGAGCCTGGGAGAGTTCTTGTCGGTACTGACGTATCTGGAAGTGGCGAGGGGACTTCTCCCGGCGCTTTTACTGTTCTCGCTTCCCCCAAGAAAGACTCACGATCTGGAAACCTGGACAGGACGAGGGGTCTTAAGAAAGCCCCAGAAGTTCGGGAGATGATGAGGACACGATTAACAGTCAATCTTTCACGGAGAGAAACCGCTTCGACCGACCTGGACGGCACAGAAGGACTAATTCCTGTGCATATAACACCTCGACGAGCTGCCACTCCTCTTGTCCGAGATGAATTGCAATCTAGCTCTCGGCGTCGAGGATTAGCTCCAAACCATCGTTTCGGCAACATCGATGACTACTTTCGCCCATCAAGGGATGAGCCGATCGAAATCGCAACAGATGAGACTGCCACACCTGAAATTCCTCATACAAGGAGCTATTTGACGAGTGTCTCTCATCATCGACGCCTTCCGCTGAAGGAACTGTCAGAATCACTCCTCAACCTGTTTCGTGAATACGAGGAAGAAGAATACGAAGACGAAAGTGATAACGAGTCCTCATCCGACCTCCCATTTGCTGCGCCAAATGCCGTTCCGTCTCCTCACACATCTCCACGTCGTAGGGTTTCTTCTTTCTTAAGCCAGCCTTTCAGGCCTCTCTTGGGGCAGCAGTCAATTCGCAATTCAATGCCAGACTTGCAATTAACACTGCCGGCAAATCTACAAACACCGCCATCATCAGACCCTACTGGTGTCGATAACTCAACTCGTCGTGATCGACAATCCACCAACAGTATCTTGGCCAGAGCCCAGAGGTCTTCTCGGGGTAGTCTGATACCGTCAGTCAACAGACGAAGTGGTGATGAGTTGAGACAAAGCCGCTTGCTCCCTGGAAGTGGTCCCACAGCATCCCAAGGCACACGTCGGTCGGACCAAGTTTGGTATGGCAATGGACTACTTAACCGCAGAAATGCGCCGATGAGCAACAGCCGTGACGACTCGGACGCACATCTTAAGGAAATATCGCACATCAGTCATGCGAACTCTGAGGACCAGGAAGGCTAGCATCCTTCTAGCCCTGAGGAATTCTCATCTCAGGCCTATGCGCAATCTTGGTTGTCCGATCAAGTACCACACAATCATCTGACCCCTCGCAGAGGCATGAAGGAGTCTGAACGAAGTCAAACCCAAGGAATCAAGCCGTGGTCGCACTCTCTACAGGTGCTACTTCAGAGAACACCACCACCACAAGCCACATCGCCGGACGACGAAGCTGCTGGTAGTTACAACTCAGCACCGCTAGATCATGTTCATGACCAGCACAAAGAGGGATTCGACTCGAGATCATTTAAGCGACAGCGACGCTGTTCAAGCGTTTCAACTTCAGAAAGCGCGGGTTTGGATTCTAGACACCTTCTCATGAAGCGACAGCGCATTCATGCAAACGGAGGGAGATTGAAACGCATTGCGTCGACAAAACTTCCTCTTGAAACAATATCACAAAACGATTCCACACTGAACCTCTCGGTCAAGATCGAGGTTCAAATGTGCGAGCTACAAGCTGCTACTGTTGAGTTCATAAAGTCTGGTCGAGCTACAAAGCCAGACCTGGCCCTACAGTTCAGGAACATGGATGAGGTTGGGGAGGTTGACAGGCGATTGAGACGAGTTACGGAGTCGTGGCTGAAAGGAAACCCATCTATCACGGTGGAGTACACATTTCGAACTGAAGTGAAGGGCAAATCGAAGGCATAAAGCGTTTTGTTTGGGTCGCGGGCGCAATAATGTCTGTGGGAGGAAGCAATCATGGTGTTCATTCATTCGTATACCGTTAATTATAGGTAGGGAACTTGGGGGAAGGGAGGAGCCGCTTGCTTGCGGAGATTGCTCGTACAACTGAATGACTAAATTGACGAGGCTAGAGATGCTGGGCTGCTGGGCTGCTGGGCTAGATGGTCAGCGTACAGAAGCTAGAGAAGATAGTCAATGAAATCGCACTACGAATTTACTAGTAAGCTGAACCTGAGGATGGTGTTTGTGTTGGATCCAAGACAACCCCGATGCAGCTAGTAGCATCTGTTGGGAGCCGCAGTTAGATACCGCAACTACATTAGTTAGTTGATCGTGAAACGTAAGTTCTTTACTAGGTGGTACATAAAGCACAAGCCGCTTCAAGATGATGTGTTTATAGAGAGCACGCCAATGAGACCAAGAAACATTAGCTCAAAAGGCGGTCATAGCGGCCAAAGTGTTTGGTCGTTTCCAAGTCCCGTTGTAGCTTATTAATCGTGAAACCAGCAAGTCCTACAATACAACAAGGCCGCAGGGTAAGTTATCTAGTAAGTGAGGCATCAAAGTTGGTACATGTCTGGTGATAGAGCCAAGCAGCTGCGAGACAGGCTACGTAGATCTGCATGTGCCAGTTGGCCAGCCGTGAGACCTCCTCCACCTCGCATCACTATTGGAGAATAGGATATACGAAATGTCGTCAACGGGGAGCAGGATACTTCATGCTCTGATGGTGGCTGGAAGATTTTGGGGTGGGCAACTGAGACTGTGCTACTGGCGAGAGGGTGTAGTTGAAGGGTCAGGAAGAGGGTTCAGGGGTCTAAATCATTGACTGAACGCTACGATGACCCAATGATGAGCTGGCAACTCATCGAGATGGTGAGCGAGATAAAACATGAGATATTGACATGGCAATGATGCGGCTGGCTTGGAATTTGCTAGAAGATGTCGGGTATATCGATGGATGGGGGACTTTGAAGCGAAGTGGAGGTTGATGGGGACATCAAAACCAGATTCCAGGCAACCAAGAGGGAAGGCATATCATCGGTTAACGTTGACGGGGGAATCGGCAGCAATTGAGGGACAAGGTTTGTGAGTGGATTGTGTGACTGGGGCTAGTAAAACTGATCATCTCGGCATATAGAAAGAAGGGTTACTGATTTACGAGCTTATTCCTTTGCATAGAGTTCTCGATGACAGTAGAGAAGACTGCCGGTAATTGTAAACCGTATGGTTACGGTAGAGATGAGCTGAAGAATAAGACTGGAGCGCATGGATTCCACTGATTACCTTAAGGGTGGATGGACGGGTGTTGCTGAAAATAGCCCACTCGGCTGGTCCGTCCACATGTTAGGTTTGGCACTACTGTAACAGGCTCTCATCAACGAATAGGGCCCAGGCAAAGGTCAAGATGGGAACGGGAATACCCACGCTGACCCAACCTCCCGCTCGTATCTGCGCTGTAGTTGCTCCACGAGGCGAAGGGTGAGTCGACGTTGGCAGAAGCAACTGACATGAAATGGAGTCCTTCTGTTCTGTAACTTGTGGTTCGATGTGGTGATGACTAACAGCTCAGCCTAACGCAGACCCATCCGCATCCAGATATCGAGACTTCAGCTGCTGGCAAGGAGAGACCGGGTTCGACGTGAGTTGTGACAAGTGATAGCATCCAATTAAGAGTCTGCAGTATCATTTTCAAGACTAAGCAGCTTATATGTGCACTGAATACAACGTTGTATTCGAAAAGCATCAAAATTCAGAGAAGTAGCCCAGAGGTTCAGTGAGGGTGATGTACGTTGCGTTCCGCTCCATCGTGGCTGTGGCTGACAAGATTGCCTCCTTGCATTGATGAGTAGAGAATTTGGAATTCTAGCATATTTGGTCCGGATTTAACTCAGAAGCAGCAGGCAGCGAGTTGGTTATGTTGGTGGGGAGTGAAGACCACTCTGAACTCGAAATACCGGATCATGATATATAGGTAGGTAACCTTACAGAACGTTGATCAAATGCCTAGATTTTGTAGGTGTTGTTCAGCGGCGGCCGTTGCCCGTTTTTAGAAGGGACAGCTCCATCATCGGGCTCAATCTAAGCCGCAAGCCATGACGTTTTGCGCTAAGCATTAAAGGCTAGCGCAGATTGCGATCCAATGGGAGAAGGTTTGTTTTACGAAAGCTGCAGGACACAAGTATCAGATACCTCCATTACGGTTCATCTGGAAGAAGTAATCCCTAACAGAGAGGCAGTTTTATGTGGTAGGACAAGAATTGCAGAGATTGGAAGCAATCTTCACCTCTTACATGCCGCATCTCTTAGATGGTAATCTGAACTGGTCGCACAAATTAAATGGGAAGTCGTCTCCTGATAAGCATCCATGACTTGAGCCCTGAGACGGCCTGAGATAAAGATAGGACATGCGTTCTTAGCGTGGACCCAGCCACAATGCCCAGCTTTGAAGAAGACACCAGAGCCGATATCTCCAAAGCCGAACCCTTCCATCCGCCTAGGTACGGATATTCATTCCACAAAATCTCACTCCTCGAGGCCAGGTGTCGAACTCCTTCGTGCCAGGGCTGATTAAGAGGAGATTTAAGCGTAAATCATGGTGCATTATGAGACACAACAAGTATGAGGTACGGGTCAGTTGAAGAAATTCCAAGTTGGAGCTCGCAATCCACTTATACTTGCAGATCCTCACCATGGAAGCCCAGGGCATTTGGGGGGATCCATCATCAACGGACAGCGGTGGTTTTGTTTCTCACGGGAAGCAGAATCCCGTCCATCCAGTTCAGCTCCCTACAGTCAGCAGCTAGTTCAGGTGTATGTGCACTGCCGTCTGGCCCGGGGCGTTTTACAGACTTACAGGCTCGTCTTAGCGTTTTATCCCCAACGCTGACTTAACATGTACCTGATACTTCTCCATGGGCCCCCCGTTAGATCGTTCTTCCCACTTCAACGACTGGGACAAGGGCGTCTCTTTTCCCTTGCTGCCCCCCCCAAAAAAAGAATCCGTCCGTCAGGTTCGATCGACACACGACCATTGCATTGCGCGCACAGCAGAACCTACCTACCTATTCGCTCACGCATTTTGCTGCTCTACCTACTGTTGGGCCTTTTTTTTCCTCCTTCTCCTCCTTTTGGATTATTCCTTCCTGCCTAATTCTTCACTCGCTCGTTCCGTCAATCGATTTCGTTTCGCTTCGCTTCCCTATTTCTGTATTTCAGGTAGCTTCATCAGCTTTGTCTACCCATCGTAGATAACTCTAGTAGCAATCAGCATTTGATCCGTGGCCATCTAAACAAACATCACCTCACATCCGTTGCCATCTCTCGAGAATCACGTCGCTCGCTCTTTCGTTCGTTCGTTCGCTCGTTTGCTGGTCGGTCTTCTAATCTTCTGTCGGCTTATTACTCCTCTCGACACCCAAGATGATCTCCGCCTGAGCCACCACGAACCTCTCCGATCCGATTACTCGCCTTCATAGTTTGACTCCACTGGCAAATTTCAACAGTCTTGGTTATTCCAGCTTCTTGGATAGTCCTTATCTCGAAGCTATGCAGCTTGGTCTGGCCAGTCAACAACTTGTCGACTGTTCGCAAGATTGCCGCCCTTACTCACACCATCGCGGCCTCATCCAAGACCTGCCCAGGAGGCGACATGTGGCACGGTCGTCGAAATCCCCGATATCTGGCTCCGCGCCTGCTGCCCTCGCTCCCGTAGTTTCTTCTGGCCACTCGTGCAATCAGTGTTATCCCACAGCCATGACACAAGCTGTCCTTCACCAAAGGGCGTGGCCCCTTCGATATGGCACCATATCTCACTTGTCGAAGAGCCTACTCGTCGCTCTTATTGTAATGCACGCCGTATCGCCTGCTCATGCCGTGAGGATCCCTTTCACAAACTGCCTCAGCGACGCCTACCGCTTGCACGAACCGACGAGGCTGCAATGGGTTCCCTTATACGCCGATGCCGTCTTCGATACCGAGAACGAGAAACACAACCTTCGAGTTATTGTTTGGGGAAATGTCACGGGCGCCCGAACGACCAGCGCGCTGCCACCGCCCGATGACCCTTCTTGGAAGGATGCCAGCGATATCAATGGCAAAATCGCCGAAACTCCCCAGAAGAAAGATGGCTACAACACCGCTACGACTTACTTCCCCAAGGTTCACTTCTTGACATATGTTCCGTATAACAACGACAAATTTAATTTCTGTAACACTTCATTGGTAAACGGATCTTGCCCGCTTGGACCTTACTTTGGAGAAGTTGATTATAG